GATAACGATAACGATAACGATAACGATAACGATAACGATAACGATAACGATAACGATAACGATAATAATAGTAATAGTAATAATAATAATGATAATACAAGGACAAACAAAGTAGCTCCCACGCGCAGCAGTCAATACAAACCCACGAAACCTCCCTAGTCTTACTAATCTCAGACTCTGTTGGAATTCTGATTGGCCTTCCGATGGTCAAAGTGCATACCCTGATTCCAGAGGTTTTTGTTCTCTGAGTGATCAATAATGAGCGAAAAAAAGGAAATCGTTAACTTACTCAATGCACATGTAATAGTATTGGTATCACAGTGCTTGTACTTTCTGATTAATTGTGATTTTGAGGTTCTATTTCATAGAGTAATGTACTAGTCGTGTATTAGTGAAAGGTGAATAAAGTAATGGTGTACAAAATTTGTTTGCTTCAGACGATACTAACACAGGATTTAATTGCAAGCTAGCTACTAACACTAGATCCTCTACATGCACACAGGTTTTCTCTGACAGCAAACCCATTCCCCTATCACAAAAACACGCACGCTCAGCCCCTCACGAACAGAGTTGACTAAGTTGAAAGACAAGTTTTACTTGTAGCAAATGGATTTTACATCAGGAGTTAGTCGGCCTCCAGTTTAGGGGGAATTTACTGAGGGCTATTCGACTGATATTCCCAGTTCCCAAGCTGTAAGAATTGGAAAAGCTACCCGAGATTTCACGAATTCAGTTAAAGTTCAAATACTGCCATTTACAATTACAGGTGGCCAAGCTTCGTCCCTGTACATATATTAGTACTCAGGTTTCGCAACAGTCGAAATATGAGGATTTGTTTGGGAAAAACGGTTGTGTTCTTAACCCTAAGAAATACGAAGGAAAATAAATAAAAATAAGCCTACCTCGCTTCAGGAGTGTGTTTCCTTGGTTCTTTTATATTCTACTTGCCATACACCATATGGCATGGCTATTGGCTCTTTCACATCACATCTGGTTCGCGCATAATTTTTTTCGTTTATCATTTCCATGGAAATATCGATTGCCTTAAGAAAACATTATACCAAACTTCAATCCATTTCCAATTGCTGGTGTAATTTCCATATCGATCCAATCAAGGGAAGACTGGTTAAAAGCTGTATCGAGGCACCTTAACCGGTTATTTCGAACCTCTGTTACTTCGTTCGAAACAGCGAAGTTCAATAGTATTATAATCGGTGAAGAAGACCTTTTATCGTTGTGTTGTCAACAGTGATTAGCGGCCTTACCTCGCGGGAAATGGAGTCATGGCCGTGCTACGGCAACCTTAGAAGGAAATGTCCGAGATTCCACAATAAAGCTGCCAACGGCCTTATAAGTTTGTACTGACCAAGAAACGAGCAAATTGAACTACAGACTGTTTGCGGTCCGCTTCCGTTTCACATCACAGCATTTAAATAATTATTCACAATCAGGTAAACTGTTGATTTCATAAAGGTCGCCACGAGTGAAAACATCTAAGGCCCGGTCCAAACGCCGCTCCACTCATGTGCCGAACCAAACTTGATTAAGTTCGACTTTAGAGCGACTTTGGAGTGCCGACTGGTTCAGAAGGCGTACTTGCGTCGACCTTAATTTGGGAAGCCGGTGGTAACAATTTTCGATGAGAAGGTATGCGTTCTGAATTCAAGAATTCTGTCCAAATAGAAAAGATGTGACTAACATTTCGCCGTTGTAGCAATATTTAGGGGGCAAATTCAAACTCAAGGTTCAGTCTTTGTATTTAGACAGGTTTTCTCCCGGTTAATTCGACTTGTTAGAGGGAAATCTCCTAATCTGGGCTATTATCATGAGGAAAACGCGAAAAATGAATTTGCGCGGACAAAAATCGCTTATAAGTCCCGTTTCTCATAAATCGACGGCATATTTAATTTTGTTGTGTTTGGTTTTAGCGACGACTTCGAGCTTCATGCATGACTGGTCACGCCACTCAATTTTGAGCCAATCACGAGTCCCGTTATATGAAAAACACATTACAATAATTTATGAATTAGGTTCGACACATGAGGAGAACACCGTATGAATCAGCTGCCGCTCCAACGTCGCATAGTGCGACAGACCCTGCCGAATTTGATGTTGTTTGCCGCACCAAACCTAACCTGCCGAACCAAACTGATTCAAACGCCGCTCTTCTACCGTACTTAACTCATCAGTTAGGTTCGACGCATGAATGGAGCGGCGTTTTGAACGGGCCGAAGTTACATTAACGACATGTCAATTAAGTACTACATTTCAGCCTGTGACAGGGTCTAGCTTTACACGAAGAGCGGGACAGCTTTTCATGAAGATCAAAAGTAAGTCAAGCAAAGAAAACGAGTTCCCTTGCTTTCTAATCAGACGGTGTTTACGTGTGGGACTGTTTTGGTTTCAATATTATTCATATGCGATTTTGTATTTTTTTTCTTTTTCATATGCGTTTTCTATTTTACATAGACAGGGTTTCACGATTGAGAGATAATTATGTCAAACAATTTGAAATAACAATTTTGTACCAGAAACACTGAAAACGTTTTGTCACAAATTCATAAGGCTACGCTTTTGCAAGAAAAGATGGATGCAGTATACATTACTCGCCGTCCAGTCAAGACGCTGTTACCTGAGGCGAGAAAGCAAACAGTTAATGTGGCAAACAAAACGATAATAAAACACTTCATTCCATTGGACAGATCCACGATTAAACAAACTGCTGCAGCAAATAACGTTGCTTGTTAGAATGACGCGATTTGTTTTAGAAACTTGTTCTGTTCTTGTTCGTAGACAGACGTCTATGAAAACAAGAGTTTGGATTACGTAGAGCAATAATTGCCATTTCGTTTTGAACAGCGACTGGTAAGTATCAAATTCAAAGAAGTTTATGGGTAGCCAATGCAGTTCTGCTATTATTAGTATTACTAGCATCTGTAATCGTTTTGGTATAATCATGGTAACTGAACTAGACCGCGATTTAGTCTTGGTTCATCGCAGAGGAAGACAAAAAAAGTTGTTTATGGTTTATTAATTAACTCATGTTTCAATCTTTCGGCTTCAAGATAACCGCGTTGCATCCTTCTCAGTTATGGAAATATCTCAGTTTAATTTCAAAATTTCACATTCGATTTTTTTCTCATGGCAGGTTCTACCATTTCAAGTTAACGTTTTCCCTCACAGATAATTGTGCGGGCCTTGAGTTGCGCAAAGGTAAGCGATTTAGATATGCCAGCTCAGTCAAAACAAATCTATGAAAGCTCATGGGCTCAACTGCTTCGGTGAGAAACGTGACAAAAACTTCGCCGGAAGATTTTGAAATGATGATAGCAGAATGCCCTGTTGCAGTTGTTGAGAACGACTGACATACATTTAAAAATCTCAAGTAAATCCTCGGCTCTGTTTTAAACCCACCTGTTGTCTTATTTTATCACCAAACACTATACCGATATTTTCAGCAAGAATAAAATAGTATTCACACACGACATTTGATCTCAAGTGCAGCGTAGCAGCGCAAGACATAAAATAACTATATGATTGTTACAAATTACAGTTAAAATTGCTTTTATCTTTGTTTTGTAATACTGCACGACGAATATAAAATAAATGTGAACCGTCGCTCAGTTTCGTCAAATTCAATTCAGCAGTAGCTGAGACAGCAGGGTACCAGTTTAACCAATCATCCACTCTAGGCTACTAGTGAGTATAAATTTATGGTAATTGCTAAATTCGCTAATTCGTTGCTGCAGCATTTCTTTTGACGGTTTGGCTAGAGAAACAAGCGCATGTTTCGCTGTTTCGATAAGGTCAAGTTTTTTGACCATTCATTTCAGTGGTAAGATTGAGTCTAATCTAATCCTGCATTACGAGACAGCGTTCATAATTTTTAATAATGCGTCACGGTTATGAGCTGACTATGATGAACTCAGTCAACACCTGAGCGCTAGCTGACAAACAACAGAAAAAAAAAAAAAAAAAACTGAAAGAACATTGGACAAGATTCGACTATGAAGACCATAGGCGAACCTGATGACAGATGATTTGACAACTGGTCGCTTGTGATCAGCAAGTTTTGAACTGGACAACCGCGCCCTAGATGTTTGCATGATCGTACATGTAGCAAGGCGATATTTTAGTCTTATCTGCCGCAAGATCTGCGAGATAAAGGCGTATGCGCGACATAGAAAGTCTTTGGCGTCAACTTATTCAGAAGTTGAATGAAAATCTATAATCACTAGAGTTCCACTAGTGCAAAGGACAGATTCCCAGGTGCGAAGCTCCGCAGATGTAATTAACGCAATGAGTAACCCTCCACCCTGCCAGCAAAGTAATGAAGTGAATCAATTCGGATGACAAGGAAGTATCTGTAAGTCAAAACGAGTCTTTCCCTGAAAACTGAAGAATAAACCTTCAAAACTTCATAAACCTTGTAAACTACATCTCAAATTAATTGTAATGTATCAAATTTTTCTGCTCGCTATTTGTCCTTGGACAAAGGGCTTGAAATTTAACAAATTGACGGCAGTTTTTTATGCGTCTGTCTTCTTATTGATGATAAATTGCGTCATAACATTGTCAAAGTGGCTGTGGAACCACGAAATTTATCATCAATAAGAGGACTGACGCATAAAAAACTGACGTCAATTTGTTTTTCACAATAACAGGACCCCAAAATGGTCAAATGGCAGGAATAAATGTGGGGAAAAGACGCCGTAAATTTGCCGTAAACCAAATTAATTTAATTTTATTCATAAATGACGCGAACATTGTCAATAGCTTTTCTCGCTTTTTGATTGGCTTCTTAAAAAAGTCTATAAAATCTCGTTGGTTAAAACGTTGACAGTTTGACAGCTGAAAGTTAAACTTGAAAGCTTGCATAAATTAAAATTTTATCCGTCTGTACTCTTATCGATGATAAAAAAGAGCTACTCAGCGCACGAGAAATTAGACAGCTATTGTAAAAAGTCGCATTGCAGAAAAGACTACATGTCGGTCTCGGATGAGGTAAACAGTCAACTGACAAATAGCAAAAAAATAACTGACAACTGACAAATAACCGAAAATTTAACTGACAACTGAAATTTGTGGTCAGATTTACTAACAACAGACCAAAAGTTTTAGCCCTTGATATTCGTTTGAAATTCATTGAAATGTTATTACTTTAGGACTATTAATATTTATTTAATAATTCACAATTTGACCCTCATACTATCTGTTATGATCATCCATTGAGGGCCATGCGCTTCATGCCACAGGGAGAATAGTAATGTCTGCTGTTATGTTATATTTCCGGAACTGTCAGATGAATGGTTCACTTTTCAAAAATTTAACAGTTTCTAGATTTTCTGGAAACTTTCTCAAGGCATTTCCTTACCCAGCATTTATCACGTGTACCGTTCCGAAATTTTCGAAATTTTTGGTCGAATTAAAAGTGCTTTAGGAGAGGTTTTACGTCTTCACTCAATTATTAACAGCCACTGGAGTAGGAATACTCCTATTCGCTTCATGCCACAGAAACCGGAATAATATAAGCCCCGCCCTGATGGACCACTTGGCTCGTATGCAGACTTTACCTTACCTTACCTAACTGACAACTGACAAACAGACAAAACTTTCCCTGATAACTGACATTTGCACCCGCCCCCCATCCAGACCCTTTATCATGAGCCTGTCGAGTCAACTTTTAAAAGCGATTTTCAATTTGGTTTTGATGAGAAACCTAAAATGAAATGAAACTATTGCTAAGTATACGCGAAGAGTCCCGAATTGCCGATAGCTGAAACCCCTTCACCTCTTCTTCCACTTAAAAATTGCCAACCTGCTAAACTATGCTTACTACACCACACAGAATCTCCCAGCATCAACTAGAAAGGTAACACACATTCGCGCCAAGACATGGAAGGTTTCATCTTGTCGTGAAGTGATTTATGAAGAATCTTGATTATTGGAACTTCAGAAAATAACTAACGATCGAGAATTACACATGGATATTTCCCCTTCGATCACAGCGTAGGAGAGATCAGACGTTTAAATTTAAATCTTAAAAGAGCAGATTTCTAATCATCAGAAGCTTACGAACATAACATCAACTGCAGTTATATATCACTCACTTGAACCGGTATCTCCGCGGAGCATGGGAACCCCACTCATGTAATTGACAACGTATCCTGATTCAGCTATGGAGAATTAAAGCGCTTTGTGAATTAGTCTGTGGGGTAGAGCTCAATACTAGCTCTCGGATGTTTTCCTTATCAAATGGTGTTAGGGACAGTTTGTTGTTCCGCGGCCCTCCGTATTCCCCTTATGCGGGTCTCGTGATTTTGCGGCCATGTGCTCTTCGCAGTTTTTGTGCGTTGTTTCTGTGTAGGCGGAAAGTTTGTTTTGTTAGTCCACTTTTACCTTCGCTTTTACCTTCTCGATGTTGACATCTTGATTTTAGGCCTGAAGATACCCAAAAAATATGTAAGTTATCGCTTTTGGTCGCTCATTTGTATTGCTTTCTTCTGTAATTCAACATTTGTTTTGGCTTCATATTTTGTAATTTTCAGCTGTACCGACGGAAAGACGAGTAACAGATTAAGAATAAACATCTTCAAAGTAAAACAAAGGAAAACCATACCTCCCTAAGTGCAGACCCATGCCTTTTATCTATAGAGACACACTTAGGTCCCAGGCAAGGTTGTTTAGCAAATGAAAATTCACCACCAAATTGAGCACATTCCAAAGGTACCTCCTCAGCAGCGTTGACGAAAAGTGATGTAATCTTCAAATGTCAAAAAATGCAAGACCGTAGATAACAGAATTCTAAGTTACTCTAGAAATCGCATTGGAAACCTCACCAATGCATCCGTATCCATGATCACTACTCGGTAACCTACCAGCCCGGTGCTTTTGTAAAGCTAGCCAAAGAACGACTGAAATATTACATTGCCAGTGCCAGAACACAGGTGCCACCTATTGACAAATACGAGCCCAACTGAGATCAGAAACAACTTGCGATAAATGAGCTACTGCTGTGAAACGATGAAACCCCAATGTGCCCCCGACGCTCTGAGATAATTAAACAGGCAGTGATGTGTGCCAATAGCCCTTTTTTGGCTTGACATGCGTAGACAACATAGGAGAACATCACAGCAACAGGTCTGTGGTCCAGCAGTGCTACCTCAGAACAAGAAGTTCCTAATAACTCAAACTACATCGAGAACTGTAATAACACAAAACGGCTAGTTATAAAAACCTGAGTACATCTGAACATTACTTACTATTTTAGGAGACATTTTGCGTTATTTTTATATCATTACTTTCTTCGATTCGGTCTTTTCTTTTTTTTAGAATTTGGACTTCAAAAGCAATTACCATGGCTCAGTTTTGTCGTATCCTTGCTGCTACCGTGCTTCTTATGTTGGGTAAGTGGAACGTGTTTCTAACCAATCCCTCCCGGCCTGACGGTGATCATCGATGTCATTCTCTACATATGTAAATACAGAGTCAAGCATGCAGGTCACACAAACATAGGAATTCCCTAACAGAGAACGGTACAGAGAACGGTTAAAAGATCTGAAGAACTAGGTCCCCTGAAGGATATGGAATTAGTTTGCTTTTCACTGAGTTGCTTTGTAAGGAGTTAACGATTTTAATTTAGATACAATGTTTTTATATTGCTTGCATTTGGGATCCTCCAATTTTTTTTTCAAGTCGCCGTGTACTAACTTATATATGCTAGAGCCCCAGCGGCTTGACGGGAATGGTTGGTTACGTAACCCACAAAAATCCGAAGTCAAATATTACGCTCAAAAGTTTGGGTTCGACTAAACGAACGACCCAAAGGTTACTGCTGTAGCGTTGTCGAACTTGTTGAAAACGTGGATGCTCGTGTTCTCCGTCACCAAAGATAAAAACAACAACAACAACAACAAACAAACTTACCACATTTTTCCATGTTCTATATCTAACACTAGTTCGTCAGTTTCAACAATTCATTTGTCGTTCATCCTCTATAAAAAGGAGGCCTCACTCATAGAGACCAGAAAAATGACGCCATTAAATGTCCAAAACTTTACAGTTCCGCTTTGGTTTTGAACAGTTCATAACTTCATTGGAGTTTAGACTGATAGCTTATTTTGGTGAATTTTCCATTGGCCATCGTTCTTGTCGGATCAAGTATGATGGAAGAGCCAGAGAAAATACTCAAAGGAGGGCTAAGAGGCAATCTTTGTTGAATAAGATGAACCAAATCATCTTATATAATATAGGTGGATCAGCACCCAGCTATTACTGAAAGATAAGCACCTTGCTGATGAGCCATTAGCCTAAAAGCAGACTTAATCTCTACATTTCTTTCTTTTACGCAGTTATCGAGATCTACTGTTGGCCATGTCCTCCGCAGATGCGCCGTGATATCGATGGCAAACGTCAAGCTTATCCAAGATGGTATCGGTGCCGCTGTGGTGGTGTACTCTATGATCCAGGCTCAAAATTATGCTGCGACAACAATCTTTATCCTAAAATTCGTGGTCACTTATGCTGTGGTAAACGAACATACAATCGTTTTTCTCAGGTTTGCTGCCAAGGCAAAGTGGAGTGGGGATGTTGTGGGTAAGCCCAATTCTTACATGTCCACATCTTATGAGGAAGCAACTGAGAATACATCTTTTCCTTTCGCCAGAATTTTGCCTATTGTATATCTTCTCCTTGCAACGAAAAATATATTCTTAATTCGGCGAAATATAAACTGCTTTAGAATTGTGGCAAACGCTGCAGAAGAAATATAGATATATTAACAACTCCAAGAAAGGGGTTTTCAGAAGGAGACGAGGAGAATTCACTGGATACTGAGTTTAATTTAAGTTATTAACAGTAATATACAGATGTAGCACTACATGCAATCAGTATAAGAATTTTAATTTCCACAGTTTCCTGTAACGCTCAATAATCCGAAAAGAAGCACGCTCTTAGCTAGAGGTGAGGGGCAATAAAATGTAAATCATTTTTTCCCTCAGGCTTTAATTTTGGCCCAGAAGACAAACCCGAGAAAGGAGATTTTGTAAGCTGCTTTAAGCTATTTCTTTTCAATATTCATCAGGCTGAGCAAAATAAATATTTTGGGAGCATCACATTTAAAACCAAATTGACAGACTCAAGGAAAAAACAAAAATCGACAGATATGATCCACAAGTCCGTCCGTCCATCCCAAATCATAACCGGAGAAGACCTTATTATAAGATCTTAATTTGACCTGCTAGTGGAGTTTCAAATATCGCTGCCTGGTTGCATTTTTTTAATAGCAGTTTAAGCAGAATTTCTTACTCTTAACTCCCTCTTGAGCTGACTTTTTTATACAGTTGTGCAATAAGATCGTAATTAACGACATCATGATCGCCAATAGCACTGCTTATAATCCACCAAATATTTTCGCTCGCATGCGATTGGCCTAAACGCTTCACGTGGCTGAATATGCCCCAGCTAAAACTGGAAAATATCCGAGTGATGTTCCCCAGTTTTCAAAACTGCGCGTGTTGCAAAGAATATTTGAAGGGTAATAGTCACAATAGCCTGCATTTGGCGCGTAAATATGCTCGCATATCTGTTCTTGGACATTATTTGTTCCTCAAAGCTCCTAGTGTTACTTGAGTTAAACTCTCGGATAACTATCGCAGATAATGTCCGCGGACAAATATCCGAGCACGTTTTTGAGCCAAATGGAGGCTATTATTTATATATTTCCCGAAGAAAGACATCAGAGTTTCCACAGTTAATAAAAGGTTATTTAAGTCAAGAACAGGTCGCCTTACTTTAACTATATTATTTAGAGAGGGAGAGGCCTTAGCGTAAACTACTGCTAGAAAGTATGAATTCTAGAATGGTCGAGGTCGTCCACTCCGTACAGCTCCTCTCCACGTGTTGTATCCTAACTAAGCAAGATCTCTGAAATTATGACCACGTTGTTGCTCAGCGTATTAAAATGCCCATTTTTCATGACAAAACTGTTTCTTTTCAGAAACGTAATGGTAAGTGCTGTGCGGGTGTGCCTTATCGCCCTTCCTCTCAGGCATGCTGCGGAGGAACATTATCATCACTCGCTGGAATTACTTCACCTCACTGTTGCGGGAAAACTGTTTATGACAGAAATCAAAAGGTAATTTACCTAGTACAGCTAACTCAAAGGTTTAGAAATACACTCCATGTTACCGTGCATCTGGTCAGTAATAGATCACAGATGACGTCAAAATGTGGTAAGAACAAAAACACGAGGCGATAGCCGAGTGTGTCGCTGATGTTCTTACCACATTTTGACGTCATCTATGCATCTGTCCTCCAATAGACCGTAAGTAAGAACCAATCAAAATGCAAAAATATTTAACAATTACTGGACGAGGTTGGGTAAAACACCATGATTCGCATTCATTCAAAGCAACCAAGTCAATCAGTAAACTAAGGCAAGAAAGGTAAGATAAATCTTTTTCGCTATATCTGACACGAAAACCCATAATACCATTGCTAAATTGTGTAGAGACCTTAAAGGTTGATTCAGTTTACTAAAACCGGTGATTTGCCGTCTACGCTTAGATGACGTTTCCGAAACTAACTAAACTCCACTGATTCTGTCGAATGACTGAGGAGTTGGTTGGCAGCAGTTTCAATTTCCGAGAACAAAACTTCCAATACTTTGTTAGTCAGGCTGCAGATTGATTTTACGCGGATTCCAGACCTGCGAATCCGATCCGGATAGAAGAGAGATGGACCGTCGGAGGGTGCACAACTGTGTATGGGATTCCGGACAGGATAGACGTTTGAGAAGAGTCAATGATCTCATAACATGGAAACCTGGTCAACAATGGAAAGAAGAATTACTGGTTTCCTGTGGGGTGCACAGAGTGTCCTGGAGGCATCCTAGATCCCGTCACTAGCATCAGCTGGACTTCGTTATCACCAGCTGGAGACCCTTGCTCAACCATGTGCTTGTCACCCGCAGCTACCATAGTGATGACTGTGACACCGACCACGCCTTGGCGAGCAGCAAAGTGCGTCTTCGACCTAAACGAATCCACCGCTCCAAGCAGAAGAGTCGTACTCGTATCAATACTACCAAAACGTCAGTGTCTGAACTACGCGAACGCTTCGTCAAAGCCATTGACGAGGCCCTCGAAAATTGCCCAAACGACAGCGCCACAGTACGGTGGAACCATATCCGCGATGCTGTGTACCAGTCTGCCTCACACACGTTGGGGAAGAGAGAGAGAGATAGAGGAAGAATGAGGACTGGTTTGCGGCAGGAACTGTGGAAATGGAGCCTGCCATAGCCGCCAAGCGACCCCCGCTCTTTGAACACAGCTCACGGAGAAGATGCTAGCCACACTTGGCCAAACTCGCAGCAATGCCCAACGGGTCGCCCGCAGGTGTACCAACGACTACTTGCTGAAACTGTGCCGGGATATTTAGACCACCTGCGACTGTGGAAACATCCGCGCCAGGTATGGTGGCATGAAGAAAGCGTTTGGCCCAAGCGTCATCAAGATCTTTCCTCTTAAATCTACCATGGAAGACGTCATGACAGACCGCAGCAAGCAGATAGAGAGAGATGGGCAGAGCACTACCGGAAGCTGTACTCCAAGGAGAACATAGTCACCCGCAAAGCCATCGAGAACACCACTCCTCTGCCCACTATGGAGGAGCTCGATTTTCCACCCACCATCGAGGAGCTTGGCAAGGCCATCGACTAACTAGCCTGCGGCAAAGCACTAAGCAGTGACGGCATCCCGCTGGAAGTCATTAAAGCGGGAAAGGAAAGCTTTCTCCTCTACCATCTCCATGAACTCCTGCTGCGGTGCTGTGACAGTGTGGGGTGACAGTGTGACAGTGCCCTAAGACATGCCCTAAGACATGCGCGATGCCAAGATCATCACGCTGTACAAGAACAAAGGGGATCATAGCGATAGCAACAACTATCACGGAAGATTCCTCCTCAGCGTTCTCGGGAAAGCCTTCGCCCGCGTCATCCTTAACAGGCTACAGCTACTCGGCGAACTCGTCTACCCAGAGGCACAGTGCAGCTTCAGAGCCGCAAGGTAAACGATCGACATGGTCTTCTCCCTCAGGCAGTAACAGAAGAAGTGCCGTGAGCAGAGACGTCCCTTGTTCATCGCCTTCATCGACCTGACCAAGGCGTTCGACTTGGTCAGCCGAACAGGCCTCTCCATCCTTCTACTTAGGATTAGATGTCCGCCCCCAAGCTCCTCCAGGTGATCACGTCCTTCCATGACGACATGGACGATACTGTTCAGCACGACGGATCATGCTCGGACCCCTTACCAATTAAAAACGTTGTAAATCAAGGGTGCGTCCTCGTGCCGACACTCTTCGGCGTCTTCTTCTCTCCGCTGCTTCGCTACGCCTTCCCACATTCTGTGGATGTCATCTTCTTCACCAGGAGCGACGGCAGCCTCTTCAATGTGGCACGCCTCCGAGAGAAGACGAAGGTACGCAAAGTCCTCATCAGGGAGTTGCTTTTTGCAGACGATGCCGCCCTAACTGCCCACACTGAGGAATTACTACAGCGGCTTATCATCTGCTTCGCTAAAACCTGCACCGAGTTCGGTCTCACCACTAGCCTGAAGAAGACCAACATCATGGGTCAAAATGTCAGCAGCACTCCTCAAATCTCCATCGGTGACCACACCTCTGAGGTCACCGACAATATCTCCAGCAACCTCTCTCTGGATTCCGAGCTGAATGTGCGCATTGGCAAGGCAGCGACAGCTATGGCTCGTCTCGCAAAGAAAGTTTGGGGCAACATCATGCTGACGACCAACACAAAGATGAAAGTGTCCTAAGCGTGTGCACTGAGTACTCCTCTCTATGGAAGCGAAGCATGGACCCTCATCTCCCGTCAAGAACGCAGACTCAACGCCTTCCACCTGCGTTGCCTCAGACGACTCCTGGGCATCACTTGGCAAGATTGCGTCACCAACAAGGACGTCTTGGCCCAGGCAGAAATATATATCAAGCATGTTTGCCACGCTAACGCAGAGACGACTGCGCTGGTTGGGCCATGTCTGCCGCATGGATGACGGCCGCATTCCAAAGGATGTTCTGTATGGTGAGTTGGCCACTGGCTCCAGACCTACAGGACGGCCCGCATTGCGCTACAAAGACGTCGGTAAGCGCGTCCTGAGGGAAAGCGGCGTCGATCCAGCGGACCTCGAAACGGCGTCCTCGGACCGCATCAATTGGCGGTCCACCATGAAGGCCGGCATCGCAGAAGCAGAACTAGGGAGAGAGACCAGTTGGGAAGAACGGTGGTTCAGGAGACAGCAGAGAATACACTCAGCACCCAGCAGCACCCAGGCCAGCATGTTCACCTGCAGCACCTGCAGTAGATCCTGCCTCTTAAAGATTAAACTGTACAGTCACAGCAGGTTTTGCAGCTCTACTACAGACTAATCCACGGCGCAAATACCGTGGTCTTTTGAGACTGACGGATGCCAGCAACAACAAGGGAGGATATCGCTTATGCCACAAAGTGTTGTGAAATGTCAATTCGTGCTTCATCAGTTAATGTTGCGCCGTGTTAAAAAAACCCGCATAATTTTGAACAAGTAAGAGGAGCGCAATATAGAAAATTTTGATTCAAAGTAATATTATTTTTGACAGGATCGTATTAAAAGGAACCCTCCTTCAAATTTCAA